TGTATTATTAAAACAAATTTATTTTAGCAATTAAATTGGAATGGTCAAGAATACATCAAAAATTTATGCAATTTGACATCATTTTGACAAACTAAAATTTGATCTTATTTTGATATCATTTTGATGTCATTTTGATCTTTCTGTATAGAGCTCAACATGCTCAAGAAAATGTATTTGATCTTACAAAGATTTAAAAAATCTCGTACTAACAAGCGAAATGAATTTTTAAGTAATATGTGTATAAAATAAATCATAGTAATATAATTATATATAGTAATATAATTTTTAACTAAAATATAGAATAAATCAACAAAAACTTTTTATCTTGTTTTTTTGTAACCGATTTATGGAAAATATAACAAAATACTTTCGTCAATTTTGTTTAAAAGAAATATATAATCGTGATAAATATCGATCTTTTAGGCAAACTCTCTAACAAAAATATTTATAAGTAATAAACTTATAATATTAGTTATAAGTAATAAAAATTTTCCTGTACTTAAAACGTATCAAATTTAATACAAGCAAATTTAAATAAAAACGTAAAAATTTAACTAAATCAAATCAAATATAACAAATATCACGAAAACAGAAAAGAAATATGATATATCATTTATCATTTTAAATCTGTCTATAAACTTTTATATACTTATTTTAATATTTTTATCAATAACGTTATCTACCCAGATAACACACAGAGTTCAAAAACAATTTATTCATATATTTAGTCGTATGTTATCATATGAAAAGTTTATTTTCAGGTGCAAAAAGAATTCTTTTTCAGACTTTTTAAAAAAAGAATTTTTTTTGCATCTAAAAATGAACTCAGAATTGATAACATATAACATATGATTGTGAGTTCTTTTTGAACTCTCTGTGCTATGTGGATATCTTACATCATGTGATATATGCTGGAACACCGCATGTCATATATATTGATTCTACTATTGTACAATTTAAAATTATGAAATTTTCCAAACTGTTAACGTAATCAGAAAAATAAAAGATTTTGTTGAAAAACTATAAATAATAGATGGTATATACATGTAACGCTAATTATCTGTTAAAATTCATGTGTATTTGATATTTATACTTTGTACTTATATCGCTAAAATTAGGTTTATAAATGGTAAATTCTCTTTCTGATTATCAAAAGAAGTGATCTGTGTAGCATTATTTAGTGTAGCGTTATTTTGCAATTTACACTTGAAAATCTTTCCATTTTTAAAACTTTACATAGAATAGGATTTTAAGAATGTTCTAATTTGATCGAAATAATCCCATTTTGATCCAAATTAAAAAATCGTCCATAGAATTACGTGAGGATATTTATAATTGTAATTTAGGATGTCCTTTGAACCAAGAACAGTTTAAAATTAAAAATAATATGGTAAAAAGATTATATACTCGTTAACGTAACGTTATATACTCATTGTCATGATTTTTATTTTTAGTAATTTTATTATTTCATCATTTCTTCCTAGATAATGTGTGTCTAAAAAACGTTTTTAATCGATTATTCATAACATATGAATTACAAATATTTCTTTATATATAGTAACAAAACTAGATATTGCCACAAATTCTATTCAAAAAAATAAAATTATTCTGTTTATAGAAATATTTTTTTAAATGATTCAAAAAAATTTATTTACTTTAAAAATTAGTTTATAAATACTGTTTCTATAGGATTAGTAGAAAAAATTTTAGAAATTTAGGAAACAAATTATAATGACAAAAAGTTTTCAACATTGTATAATAATATCTTAATATCATTACAATTTTTGTACATAGTGTTATATTAACAACTGTATGTAATAATACTATAAAAAATATATTAATTTAACTATTATTAATACTTTTAGAATATAATTTTAAATATATAAATAAATTTATTTATAATATATATGTATAATTAAAATAAAGTATTTATTTAATACAAATTTATTTAAGTAACGTAACTTTCGAATAAAGAATTGTTTTTATTAATATAAGCAACTAAATTATTTATATAATTCAGATAACTCAAATAAATAATTTAATTATGTAAATTGGAGGAAAAAGAAGAAAGAAATTCTTTATATATTATATTATATATACCTATGATAAAATAATTTTAAAAATATCCTTTTTATAGATAATTAAAAGTATCCTTTTTATAGATAAGTGCTCTTCGTGATATTATTTATCGTTTATATATCAAGTTAAACTATATTTGTGTGTTCAAGCTACTCATCAAGTTATTATAAAGAGTGATCCTAAAAACAGGCCAAAACCTGTATTCTCGCCCTCGATTCCAGACTTTATTTTAGTGATAAATAATAGTAAACCATGAGACACTAATTCTCTGAAACTTTCAAATTGAGCCTACTCTTTGTTGCCAAGTTATAAAACCTCAAAGTTATCATTTTATACCGTGTTTCTCAAAACGGATTTTTGCGTGCGAATAGCTTTTAGGCAAAACATTTTGGAGAAAAATGTTTCAGATAAAATTGCAGGATGTAAAAGGGTACATAAAATGATAACCTTCACTGTGATGTTGAAGACACTTCTGAAGGTCATTTGGAGCTTTTGATTTTTAAATGAGAACTTTTATATAAAGTAATGCTTTAACGGGAATAACGGGAGTGAAATGATTATTAGAAAGTTTTATATAAGTTTTATATAAAGTAGTTTTGGACCGGGGGTTAAATAATAGAAATGGCATTGGAGTCAAGTTGGTTTCATTACTTTTCTTGTTGTTTATATTTCTATAATAAGAACGAGTTTTCATTGGAAAAGCTGAAGTTGATCTTGAAATAAACTTTAAAAATGTCTTCAAGGTCTAAGTAAAGGCCTTCTATTTACCCTTACATGGCCTTGTTTACCTTACAAACCCTACAATTTTTATTTGAAACATTTATATCCAAATGCTTTTCCTAAAAGTTATTTGCAAGTAAATAATATGACCACACTGTGTCTATAATTTATTAACAATACAAATAGACACATGTTCCTGTAGTGTATACGCGTCGAAGTGCTTTAGGCAATGCTCGGCATTAGCTGCACATTTTGTACCGATTCCTGAGGCGACTTCCCACTACCGCTTGAGACTCGGCGGCTAAGCCACTCAGGCAGACGGCGTCAAATGACCTTCAGGAGTGTCTTTAAGATCACAGTGAAGGTCATCATTTTGTGTACCATTTCACATTCTACAACGTTTGTCTGAAACATTTTTCTCCAAAATGCTTTGCCTAAAAGCTATTCGCATGCAAAGGTCCGTTTTGAGAAACACGATATAAAATTACTTTAAGGCTTCATAACTTGGCAACAAAGAGTAGGTTCAATTTGAAAGTTTCAGAGGATTAGTGTCTCATGGTTTACTATCATTTATTATCAAAATAAAGTCCGAAATCGAAGGCGAGAATATAGGCCATTTTTGGGGTCACTCTTATAAGTACATTATGCATATCTCTGAATTATAATTGTTGCGTAAAATATGTTTTATGTAGATCAAAAAAAAATATTAAGGCTACAAGAAAGAGATAGGTAGTACAATTCAACGAAAATACGTCATATAAAATTCAGGAATAGAAGTAGAGAATTACATGCACTCAAATAATCAGTAGAGGCGTATATATTGAACTGCATTCCTTTTTAGCATGCTGTTTAATTCGTGTTGGACGTAATTTATATTATGATAAGAAATACTGAATAATGTATTTCAACTCTTGAGTTGATAACTAAGTATTGATCTCACAAGATCTCACTTGATATCAATTGGCATTTAGTTTTAATTATCCCTTAGCAATATTTTAATTAAAACTGCTATATGAACAGAAAATATATTTTATTATTAAAAATTAGCTTCATTTTGATATCCAAATTGTGAACAAATTAAATAATAATCCGAAGAATGTATCAATCATTGTCACGCGTTCTTTCCTGCTTAAAGTAGTATAATTAATATGATATCAATTATACATATATGATAGCGGCATTATATATGTATATGTATAATAAACATTTCAAGTAGCTCTTTATGGTATATGATTGTGCAATATTGTGAGTGAACTCACGTGATAAAGGGAGATCATAACATGCCGGATCGTCTGGAAGCTTCATGAAGGGGGCTCAGATGGCCACGAATACAAAGCACAGAGAGAGAAGAAGCATGGCAGGAGAGACCCCAGTCAGTGCTGGTGACAATGGGGCTGATGCTGCACCTGCGACACCATACAATCATTCACCCACGCAATCCTACCATTCTCTCACCTTGTACATACATCTACATTTACTACTACTTACCTAAGAAAAATTACAACGTTCTCTTATTAGCCTCGAAATGCTATACGTTAATGTTAAACCGTTTATCACCCCGGTGTATCTCATATTCAGAAGACGCGCGAAAATCATAATTAGAAACTATTTTGTTGTTTATGTGCTATAGATGTACCAATAGATATCATTAAATAGATTAAAAAATTATAAATCATATAGAACGTCCTTTTTTATAAAGTATTTGATATTTTCCTAATAATTTCTAGAATAAATGGCGCGTAATAGTGACTGCATAGTAATAGTGACGCTGTGCTGCATTTATCACAATTTTCAACATTCCACACATTCTGTCTTATTCATATGTGTATATTCATATAATATACGAGATACGAATTTAATATATTTTATAGTTATATTAATTTATATAATTCAATACATCTTGATATTTAAAAGTACTCTTATTGTAATATTGTACATTCTTGATACGTTTTATTATTAATAAGGTTATTATTATTTTTTAAAATATTACATAATTTATACCCATTTTATATTAAATTATTAGACTATTTATTTCTAAATGCGACAAAAGAAAAAAAATACAAAATGATCGCATTTAAATAATTAAAAACATACATTATTGTACTTGATTAGTATAAATTATATACTTTATTATTCATGCTGATTATAAATGAGTCTTAGTACTGTTATTGCAATTTGCATCGTGGAGATGAATAAAAAATTAATGATACTGTTAAAGGATTGTTTTGAAAAGGTATTACGATACACAGAAACAATACACCTGGAAATCTTTGTAGAATATATCTATTGAACAATCCATGGAAGATTACACTGAATAATAGAGTAGAATATAGTTCACGTATAGAGAGTGAAAAGAGAGAGAAAGAGAGAGATAATATAAGTCGTAATGGAAGCAAAGTAAAACACCGAATCACATCGCTTTTCGAAATGCTATGCTTCTGTTAATACACGTTGCATTTTAACTTAGCGAAACTTACAGTTCTCCTCGTCCGACGAATCATCTGGCCCGCAATTATCAATGTTATTGCACCGCAGCGACTCGTTGATGCAGTATTTACTTTTGCTGCATAGAAATTGATTCTCGCAGTCTGTGTTCGTGCTCACTTCGGTCCACACAGCTCGAAAGCCCTGTTGCCCTACCGCTTTATCAGCTGATATAAAACTGTGAAAATAACATGAAAATATATTAAGAGCTCCTTTTTAAAAGCCTCATTGCTCATATAAAACGTAACAAACCTCAGTCGCATATTATTATCTTCCGAAAGAAAATCCCATTTAGCAGTGGGATCTTTAACACCACAGAGCTCACGCGGAGCAGACGTTAACGAATACCACATGCGTAACACGGCTGCGGGACAACCTCGTACTTAAAATAATTATTTAAAAATTAACATAGTCAATATGTGTTATAGTTTAAAACATAGTTTAGAAGAATTAAATATATCATAGTATTAGAATAAGAATAATAATATAAGCAAATTAATAGAAATTATGTCAAAAATTGTAGCCTAACAGAAAAAAAGTAATTTCTTGTTTAAAGAAAATAATCTAAAATGTAGAATACATTTTTTTTATATAAAATTTTATTTTTAAGAAAATTGTCTTTTTGAAAATTAAAAAATAATTTTTTATTCTGTTTATTTATTTATAAAATAATAATTACTTCTTAGTTTCAACAACTTCCCGATTGTTATTGTGTATACATACATATATAATCGTCCTGTATGTATAGTATAATTAATTAAAAATATATTACGTATAATTAATTTGTAATAAATCCATATATTACCTAATTGATCACCTTCTACGGAGAAGACCTCGAAGTTTAAGAGTATCCGTTGATTTGGCCGAACCTTTATAAACCAGTTACAACTTTTACTAGCTAAGTTTCTTGCCGAGCCATCATATTTATTTGGAAAATTCGGACTGGTTATTATCCCGTAATTTAAACTACTAATATTTGATCCACAATCTATAACATAATAATTTGAAAGAGAATTAACATCACAAATAACAAATATGTAATTGTCTAAAATTAAAATTTTTAATCTTCCAAATCATAGAGAAATAAACCAGAAATAATATCAACGAAATATTAAACTTAGAATTGTGTTAAAAACTATAAAGTTAATTCTTTTCTCGAATAAACTTCCAAAAACGTTCTCCGATTTCGATGAAACTTTGTCAAAAGCTTTATTTTGGGCTAAACTAAAATCTATGTGAATCTGGCACCCAACTTAAAAAAATTTTTTTTCAAATATGCATTAAATTAAGCTTGGTTTGTATCTCTTTGTACTACCTTTCTTTTTGTTTGTATCTCAAGGGTTTCAACATTATAAAGGGTGGAAAAAAATGCATCCCACTTTGAAATATTTCAAATCCGCAAGCGGGTGCTGTATCGGAATTGTTTGTACGCGTTTGCACCTTTCGTTTTATTTGTATCTTTAAAGGGATAATTACACCGAATTTTCAGAATAGAGATAAGAGCCAACTTCGCCTTTTTTTTAAATATTTTAAATCTGCAAGCGGATGCTGTTTCGTAATCGTTTGTACCACTTTCCACTTGCGAATTTAAAATATCTTAAATGGCGAAATTGGCTTTTATACCTATTTTGAACATTCGGCGCAATCGCCTCTTAAGGCGATGCTGGAATACCGACATTTGCATTCTAAGTAATAACTCCGAAACGACTGAACAGATTTGAAAACGCTTTTACAGGATTGAAATAGAGATAAAATGTAAACGCGCGAATGATATATTTGTAGTAAAAACGAAAAAATATT